ATGTGGTTTATGAATTATCAGTTATATTTAGTTTATGTGGTTTATTATATTGTTTATGTACTTTATTAAATTTATGTCTTATTAATTATTGTTCCTATTAATCTAGATGCCTTCAATAATTATTGTACTTAATATTCCACGCTTTGATGTAGAATAGATGCCTTCAATAATTCAACCTCCATTCAATAATTTATCCAACGTACTAGACAAAATACTTTGCACAAGAAGACACTTAAATTTATTAATACAAAATAACAACATAGTACACTTAAAATTATTATATAAATGCTCAACTAACATCATCAACGTTCACCTTCTCGGCGCCATACATGCTTAACCAAATCCTTGCAGAGTGTGTCATGCCCTTGAGGAGCTTGAATTCTATTTAAATGTCTCATATACTCACTCAAGGTGACCCTATCATGTCAAGTCTCATATGTGGTTGGAGCGAGATATTCAACATCTCTTACAATAGCTCTCGCATGTGTTGGTTGGTCATCATCCACATCTTCGTCTGAATCTTCTTCAATTTCGATGTACTCATCTTCCACAATCATGTTGTGCAAAATTATGCACGTCATCCTGATAGAATGGAGGTCTTCAGTATTCCAAAGTTGTGCAGGCCCTCTAACAATGGCCCATTGAGCTTGTAGAATCTCGAACGCTCTCTCCACATCCTTCCTGTAAGACTCTTGCCTCTGGGAAAATAATTTCTACTTTGCACTATTTAGATGAGAAAAAATTTTATCGAAATTCTGGTGCCCATCCATTAACAATATCATCGAACAGAGAAGAAGACCAAAGAACGTTGATATCGTTGTTTGATCCGAGAGTGCTGAAGAAAGCATGTCAAATTCATGTGTCATAAGACGCCACAGTCTCGAGCACGATAGTTGGCTTGTTATGACGGGCCTTGAATTGGCTAGCCCAAGCAGTAGGATAATTCTTCCACTCCTAATGCATACAATTGAGACTTCCTATCATGCCAGGGAAGCCTCTTATGTCTACCTTGCGTAGAAGCCTCTTCAAGTCTTCACGATTTGACAGAAGCGCTTCAGGTTCTCAATAGCAGTATTCTCTTCAAGTCGGCAATACTCGTCAGTTAAGTTTACAGAGCACCCATTAGCTAGCATCCGAAATGCAGATGTAAGCTTCTGATGAGGTGATAGACTTTGTCGGCCTACGACATCTATCTTCCTTGCAAAGAAATGGTCATAATTAACAATTGCGTTCAAGATGCTTTCAAAAAGCTCTATTCTCATCCGAAACCGCCTTCTAAAATCATAAGTAGGAAATCTCGGATGCTGGATGAAATAATCTTTCATCATTCAGTCATGACACTCTTCTTTATTATGCTGCACAAATGAACGTCCCATGACAGAACCACGATGGCTAGATTCATTATGGGGCTCATATTGCATAAGCGAGTTTACAAGTTCAGCTTCAGCATTGATCAATTATGCATCCTCAATGACAAGCCTTGCGTGGTATTGTGTCATCTGCATTACCCTGTTACGCCTTCTTTTATCACCTATTGATGAGATATTGAGGATTTTTAGGAAACAAAAACTCTTTCAATGTTGAAAGATTGGTGAATATAAAGGATGATTGAAGGTTGAAAGATTGTGTGATCAACTAATATTGGACATGTGTTTATATAGAGGATGATTGATGAAAATTGAACGGTTGGTGAAAGTTGAAAGTTTGGTGAAAGTTGAAGGCTTGCTTTGTGGAAAATTTAATGATTTTTTCAATATTTATCGGAATTTAAATATTTTTAGATTAAAATGTTCATAAAATTACTTTACGATAGTCTACATATATTTTTTTTAATTTAATTTAAGAAAAAAATTAGTCTAAGTTCATTCTTTAATAATCCCAAGCTAAAATTTTAGGCCAGAAAAGTTGGAGCAGAAAATCTATTTTTGGGCTAAAAGCTAACTTTTCCAAGCTACAAAATTTGGCTTTTAGCCCAAGGGTTGGAGATGGCCCAAGTGGGGTCGATTGTTACATCCCACCCCTGATTTTAAATGGTAATTTTATTTTATCTCTAAAAGTTTATAAAAATGTGTCTGAAAGGGTTTTTTTTTTTTTTTTTTAATTTTTTTTTTTTTATGTTAATGGTGTACCCAAGGGGCCCACCCCTGATACCTGTTCCTGGTCTTCCGTACTCGCTCTCTCATCTTTCAGAGTTCTTTTTCCTCCCTCACTCTCCCTTATCTCTCCTTCTCGACTCTCTGCAACTCTCTCATTCCTCCTTCCCTGAACTCACACACGCACACATACCTACATACACGTAGGCAGCCATTGCCACAATCACATCATCACCATCACTCGAACCCCTATTTTATCCCTTACCTCTCGGTCTATCTCTCTCTCTTTGCACCGCACTGTGCACACAGTGCTCTTACTTCTCTAGCAAGATTCTGTATGTGTCGACCAAGGTAAGCATCCTAGACCTCTTTGGTTGTTGTTATAGATTATATGAGGATGATTTTAAGAACCTTGGGACGTTGGAATGCAGAGATAGCTCCGGGGAAGCTTTTCCCAGTTTCTCGATGACTGGAACAACGATTGCAGGTGTTTTTTCGACCAACTCCGACCACCAGTCGCCTCAAAATTGGTATAGATCTCTTCCTTGCTTCACAGGCTTTATTTTGGTATTTTGGTTTGCTTTAAATGGTGTTGTTTCGAGCTCCGTCGGAGCTAGAGAAGTTTCCGGTTGAATTCCGACCTTCTCCTTCGACTAGGTCCGGCGACCCATGTTTTGAACTCAAGCCAGGCTTTCAAGCCCAAAGCCTCTTTGAACCAGGCCCTTAGGGCCATGTAGAACATAGGCCTTTGGCTCGTTGCCATTCAAACTCAAACCCTTTTCCTTTTATTTAGTTTAAACCCCAAAAACCCTTTTAGACAGGCCTTTGGGCCACTGAACCAGCCCAAAACCCACGTGCTTTTAGCCCAACCCGTGACCCTTGAAACCCTTAAAAGCGTAACCCATTAACCCTTATAACCCAGACCTTTGGGCTTAGGACCTATCGCCCCAAACTCTCCAACCCAGCCCAGATTCGGTTGGAATATTCCTAGAATATTCCTTCGTTGACTTTTCAGAAATTTAATCGGGACCCTTCTAAGTGTACTTTGACGTCCTGAATCCATTTCTGACATCCGTTTTCCCAAATTCAATTGTTATAATAGAGTTTTATTAATTGTACCCTTTATGTGCTTAGGGGCAATTTATTGTGGCATTCTGTCTCCGCTAGTTTGCGTGGCTCTTCGGCGAAGTATCTGTGAGTGGACCCCTTCTAAAATGCATGTTTTAATAATAGAAATGCATACATGGTAAGCATGATTTAATGATTACGTTTTATGAAACATTTTATGAGATAACATGCTTACTGAGGCTATTTTGAATTATTACTATTTTTCCTATAACCCGTGTTCTTTATAGAATATTTAATGGATGACGATATCATATTTAGAACATGTTTCGAACACCTCTTTATAGTATAGATGATGGATGACTTTATACTATGAAGTTGCTTTTCAAATATATGTATCTTCAATGATTTTGTACTTACCTAGTGGTCCCTATTCCGCTACAAGGTGAGGGATAGATTCCGTCCCAGGCGACATTTACAGTGTTGGCATAAGACCTGAAGGGTTTTTCCTGTGGCAATTAGCCCAGGGACGGGGAGCTGGCATGGGGCCTGGAGGGATATTGGACATTTACTAGTGATTACGATATATACGAGATATGCTTTGAGACATTGCACGACATGCTAGGTTTCGGAAAACCTATTTTTATCATGTTAAATGAGTTTTCATAAAACCTAGGGGTTAGTATGTTGATAACTGTTTTATTATTTATATATTAACTTGGTCCACTCATGTTTGTTTTGTACCTCCTTCAGGACTTAGAATCGAGGCATACAATCCCGACGTCTAAGCACTTCCGCATCGGCATCTTCAAGTCCTCTCGATGTAGGACCCATCCTCTTATTCATTCAATTTTATATTATTTCTTTTTATTATTCTAGTTAGTTGTATGCTCTAAACACGTTCCTTAAATGCATATTCATTGTATTTAAATTTATAAGTCTTATTTATTCCTTGTTCTCAGCATTTGCATTCAATAAATGGCTTTCGTCACCCTCAGGTGTCGGCCAGCACGTGACCATCCCGATGTTCCGAGGACATCGGGATTGAGGCGTGTCAATATGGATGAAATGAAAGACTACATTAGGTATGTTGTGTGACCGCTCAAAGAAAAGTTTTATAGGATGGTAATAAGAATAACAATGCTTATGTCACAAAATGTTAGGCGAACAAGCATCAACACATGCAAAAAATGAGGGTGGTGGAGAGGAGAATGCTTCGTTGGATATGTAGGCACACGAGAAATGACTGGATTAAGAACGAAAATATCTGAGGTAAAGTAGGATTTGCTGCAATTGAAGATAAGATGAGAGAAAATCGATTAAGGTGGTTTGGATATCTGAAACGAAGACCTATAGATGCTCCAATTAGAAAATGCAATTATGAGATAGAGACTCAAGGAAAAAAAGCTAGATGAAAATCTAGGAAGACTTGGACAGAGTCTTTAAGAAAAGACATGAAGTATTTTGAGCTAATTGAATACTTGGTACAAAATCAAGGGCGTTTTAGGATTCATATAGCTGACATCACTTAGTAAAATAAGCCTTTGTTGTTGTTCTAAAAACTTTTCCTGTAAGTCCAATCAAAACGCCATTAAAATGATTTAAAAAAATAATAATAATAATAATAAAGAGGTTAAACGAACCTAACAAACAGATAGAATAAGCTATCGTAAGAACATCACACGTGTGGGGTTTATAAGATGACTGAGGTAACTGAAGAATACACAATAATACAGTGACAGTTGTATGCATTAGTTTTCAAATCCTTTACATAGAATTCCATTATCTAAGTAAAGACTATTGACTCTCGACTAGCATTTCTTTGGGTACTTAACTAGGCGCCTTGCAGATAACTTTGCCATCTCTTATTAGTGGTTCGATCGCAAACAAATGCTGGCCCTTATTTTCACAATTCATTTAATTACTAGCTAATCAATTGAAATCAATTGGGTATTTAGGCTGTCTGTTTGGGGAAAACAGCCCCCAATGTTTTTCAAGCTCTGGGGTCTTTCTATTCTCATCAAACATGGCGAAAATGTAAGTTTCTATGGGCTTTCCAGGCTTCCTTGGCGTCCCTTTCTTCACATGTTTAATCAAATTTGAGTTATAAGTCCTTGCATTATCAATTGTTGTTGAATTTGCACCAGCTGATGGCCAGCCAGTCTCCGATACAACAATTGCCAAAGACCCTGCACCCGCCCTCTCAAGAGCTGCATAAGCACTATCCAAAATTGCATCGAAAAGATTATTGTAACCGAGGTTGTCATCTTGTACTACAACTGAGGGAGCTGTGAAAAGAGCATAATCAAGACGAACGTCACCACTGCTGCCACTGTAAGCAAAATAAGGGTACATGTTAAGGAGTAGCGGAGAGTTGTTGTCCACGAGGAAAGCAATGAGGGGATCCAAAACTGCTCTATATTCGGACTTGAATACGCCTTTTGATGGAGGAAAGGACACTCCAAGTACTGTAGTGTCAAAAGCAGTGGAAACTTTGATTTGGTTTCCAAGACTAGCACTAGAAATTGCATTTTGAATGTTTCGCATTGCCGGGACAAGAAATTGTGCTAATGAGTCCGAGAGCTTGATTTCATTTCCTACCGCAAGATATTTGAATTTTACATTGTCATACTTTCTCACGTTGTTTTGAACCCATGTATTTGCATTATCTTGGCTTGTGGCAAGGTTTTGAAGGTTTTCATCTGGTATGCCTAACATGAGCTCAATGTTAGAGCCTCTAAGGGCCTCCAGAGCGGCTGGATTTGGATTATATAGTCTCATTCTATGGATATTATTTTGGTTGAAGAGAGTAATAACTTCTGCTTGGGATGGTAGGTCGTCGCCAAGCATTCCATAACATACACCAATTTGAGCACCTACGTTGCAAACGAATTTAATGTTGTTTGCATGTTAGTCTAATATATACATTTTATATTTGACCATCTAATGAATTACAATGAATATTAGAAAAAGGAAAAATATTAGCCGATTTTATGAATTCATACGTTAATGACTACTTTGGGTCTTTCTAATTAGTGTCATAATAGCACGGTACCATGGTGTAAATGATAGGTAAAGGAAGGAAAAAAAAAAAAAAAAAGGACACAAGCAGAGAATAGAAGGAAGTTTTCGACGAAAAAAAAAAAAAAAAAAAAAAAAAAAAAAAAAGAGAATAGAAGGAAGTTGATGTTCCACTCTAAAGACTAAAGCCAATTACTATACGGGTAGTGTCCTAATTAACTTCTTACAAACCCTTATTAGGCTTCTTAATTTCATGTGACATTCACTCTCACCGATGTCTCACATCCCGCACAGTACATTTCAGTCATCATCAATAAATTCGGCAAACCTTTTAATAATTTATTCATTTGATTGATGACATAAATAATTTGATATTCTTAATAAACTTGAAAATGATCTTTTTAATAATCAGATGGATTAAATGATATTCTATTGGATCGAAGAAGCCTTGAACATGGCTTAAATTGCAAGGTTTGGAACTAATTACATTTGTGAGTCAACCCTAACAAATTCCATTTCTTTTAACTAAAACAAGGAGTCCCCTCAAGTCTGAGTAAATTAAGGTTCTCGTTATATTTTCTTGCTGTTCTGATTAGTGAATCCTATTGTTGTACTTAGATGCAATGAGTTTGATAATTTAAGTCTTTCATGAATTTCCTTCTTTAAAAAAAATTAATAAGAAATTCAAAACTATCAACTTTCTAATTATGGCTTTCTGTGTGTGTGAGAGAGAAATTATGTACCTGTTGTTTGAAAGCTAGCCATCAGTTGCCCAAGTAGAAGTATCATCGAAATGACAGAAGAGCCTCTGCCAACCGAAGAATTGGATTTAGCCATGACAAAAAAACGATATAGGTTCTAAGAATTACAAGAAGTGTGTGCCTCCCAAAGTTGCTGCCTTGCTCTTTAATTTCCAGAGATCAGAAAGAGATGTAGAAGTACGTACTCAAGATATACGAGGGCCTCCTATTTGTTAAACTCGAAAATAGTGAAGCCGACTGTGGAAATTACCGAGGTACATAGAACTAACTTACATAAAAAACTTCTACTGTTTAATACTATACGAGGGCTAGCTTTAGTCGCCAACCATGATGTATGTGAGTCTTGTTACGTATCTATGGTTCAATATCACCCATGCAACTCAGCCTAGCATATATGTGCTTTATATTGAAGAGAACTTTAACGAAAAGCTCTCGATACTATTCATTTTAACGAAAAACCATATTTTTACACTAAAAAGTCAATCCTAATACTATTCACTTTACCTTTTATTTTGTCTCTATCGTTAAAACTCAAAGTTTTCAAACTCTTTCCATTAGTTTTCCTTATATTGAAGGATGGGTGGGGTTTGTAATTTTGTGCTTTCAAATCAATACATTTTTGAAATATTAATTCAAAACATAGTCAAATGGCATTATTATTTCATTTAAATTATAATATGTTTTTTGTGTATTTATTAATATGTCTTAAAAATGGGACATATTATTTATATTGTTCATCCATATTATAACACGTAAAAAGAAAAACACCACTTATATTATCTCCTTGATTAAACACAACCTAGCTAATTCATGAAACGTTAAGGTGGTTCTAAGTAAGGTGCGCTATAGCTGGAAGTTGAAGAACTTGTAGTTAAAGTATGTAGTTGATAATATAATTGAAAATCTAGGTAGCTGATTGATGTGAACACGTCTAGTCATGGAAGCTGCGAAAGGTATTACGTCGGACAAATGCAGTTTTGCTTCATATTGATTATCATTAAATTAATTTTAAATTTTAAATTTATGTGTTAAATAATTAAATCAAGCTACTCTACCGACAATCAATTGAGGAGATTGAGCATCACCCTCACTTTTGGAGTGAGCAAAGATACACTCCAGTCCTTTTCATTATGTTAACAATGAAATTATACACCGCGCGTGTGCGGTATGTTGTGCTCTTCCTTAATTAACTGGCATGTGGAAAAAATGAGTTATTCCTCCAAAACATGACATGTTAAAGAGGTGGACTTTTAGCACGTGTGATGTGTTGGTAGACTTCTAGCCTTTTAAATGTACTCAAGTTTTGTCACTCTATTACAGTTTAGTGGTATTCCTCTTTACTTGAAAGTAAAAGGTTTTATGTTCGAATTTCATGGATGATGAATTCGATACCAAATTAGGTTGCTCATTGTATGGCTTAGCCGAACTCCCTTTCCTCCTACTGTAAAAATATATCGATATACTAAAAACGAAAAAAAGTACCCAATTTTTTGTTCTTAATCGTTTTTTTTTTTTAAAGTACTCTAAGTTTTCAAGAATATTTGACCATATTTCGTTATCAAAATATGGTTAAACACTTTTTAAAAAAAAAGTTGGCAAAAATTTAGACTATAGGGCTTTTTTTTCTTTTTTTTTTTAATGAAAGGCGATAAATTATTGACTTCAAATGGAGATTGCATCATATCTTGGCTAGAAGGTCTTGAACAAAATCATGAATTCTTCAAACCAAACTACATTGTCAATTGAAATAACAAACTTAACCAACCTATGGCCAGCACTATTACATGATCGAGGTGTATGTAGAAACTTCGTGGGGTGTAGAGAACTCGCAGCTTGAATGATATCCTCTGCTAAAAGTCCCGTCGCAGACAGTTCCTTGGAATGCTTACAAATAAGTGCCACATCTTGGGTGGAATGTGCCCCAATTTGATGTGCAAGCCACACACCTGCTAGCACTGCTAGTAATTCAACTTGGATCACCGATCCAACACCCACTCATACAGTGAGTTTGACACCAAATGATTATGATTAGCTTATTGTGTGACTTAACCCAAGTATCTATCATCTGGTATAAATATATATCCCATTCAGCTATCATTTAATATAAATATGCCTTTGTACTAAAAAAAAAATTAAAGGCATTTTTTGGTATGGGTACGAGAAGAATCGAGAATGAGATAAATAAACCACTAATTATACCGAACACATTTTTCAGATGTCATAAAAAATTAATGAGACCAACCTACTATGTTATTCATTTAGGATTAATTACACTAACACCTCCTGAGGTTTATCGAGTTTTCAAAAAATCTCCTCACGTATAAGACATTACACTAACACCCCTTCACGTTTTAACTCGCTTTCACATAACCCCTTTAATCAACATTCTTTTTCTAATATATTTCTTTATTATTAATTAATTAATTATAAGGGTAAAGCTTTCAATTTATTAGCAGAATTTTGACTGAAAAGGTTATGTGAAAGTGAATTAAAACATGAGGGGATGTTAGTGTAACGTCTCATACGTGAGGGAGTTTTGTGAAAATTCGACAAACTTCAGGGGGTGTTAGTGTAATTAACCCTATTCATTTAACTTCATTTTTTTTTTCTTTTCTTTTTACACATTCAATATTATCACACAGTCGAAGAGCAGTTAAACCTCACAATGGGCTAGCCACAATAATTTGGTTTGAATTCACTTTTAAGGAAAATCGAATCTAAGACATCCGGCTTACAAGTGAAAAGTAATACCACTAAATCGTAGTATTAAGTGATTAATCATTTGACTGTTAGTCAACACAAGTAGCAAGACCTCTTTTTGAAAATATCCGTTATGTTCCCAATTTATACATTTTTATTCTTTTTTATTAAAAAAAAATGTTATTCCTTTTGTGAGCCCATCAAGAATACAGGCACAAGTTGGCTAGCCAACCAACAGTCCAAAATAAAAGCCTCATAGAAAGCAACAACTAGCCCAAATCCAAAAACAAAGACAATTTAATTGATTACCTTAAAAACAATTAGTTGAGGTCACTCAGTACTATGGTTTGGTGGTATTCTTCGTCATTTGTAAGTGAGAGGTACTAAGTTCGAATCTGGTGGATGGTGAATTCGATACGAAATTAGGTTGCTCATTGTGTGGCTTAGCCAAACTCCCCTTCCCTTTAGTGTAAAATATAAGGAAAACTAATGATAAAGGTTTGAAAATTTTGAATGTTAACCAAAAACTATGCACTAACTTTATTTAATGGTTAGGACAAAACCCAATATTAAACTAGCCTAGTTAAAATGGTCCAAACTATAAATTTTCGATTTTACCCCAACGTCAAGTCTTTGTTCGTTTATCCTCTCTTCCTTTCTTCTCTCTGCTATTCCCTGCATCCATAACCTCAAATTCCTCATCTCCTTTCATCACCAACCGGAGCTGCAAAGCGAGAGAGTGAGAGAAACAACCGGAGCAGCGAATATGATGACCATCCTCTCCTCTGAGACTATGGACATCCTCGACGGTGTCAAGATCAAGGTCCACACCAAGATCATCAAGGTCCTCACGGGAATACAACCAGAAAGCGGAAGCTGAAGGTCAAGGCCTGGTTCGGCTCCCTTAAAATCAGCCCCGCCATCCACGCCGCTCTCTCCCAGATCGGAAATCTCATCACCGACATCACCAAGGGGTATCGCTACAGGATGCGTTTGTGTATGCTAATTTTTCCATCAATGCCTCCATCACTAATGAGGCCAAGTTGATCGACACACGTAACTTTTTGAAAGAAGGTGAGTAAGGTGGATATGATGATGTTTCTATCACCCAATGTGAAAAGGTCAAGGATAACCCCATCTTGGATGGAAATGAATTTTTCACGATCTTGTGCCCTGATCAACCAAAAATGCCATCTTGTATATCAGGAAGTTTCTTGATGGTATCTATGTGAGCGAGAGGGGAACCATTGTTGCAGAGGAATGAAGGGTGTTTGTTTTTGTGTTCTTTCTGAATGTAGTTTAATTTCTTCATGGGATTGGCTAGTTATTCCTTTTGTTGCAGAGTTCCTGTGGAAGAAAATATATTAAGGGGCAGATGCGGGCTGCAGGTTTTGTTGAATGTTTGATTGTGTTGCTGTTTTTGGTACGAAATTAGAGAGAAAAATATTAAATATCTGTCATGGTTGATATATTTGATTCATTTCATAGAGGAATAATGGAGAAACTGATGGATTTAAGTACTTGAGGGAAAGCTGCCCTTTTGTAATCACTAAGCTACTGCGTTACGTTGGAAGTATGGGTGAGCATTCTTTTGTTACTTCTGGATACGAGGAAGCATTGATTGGAATGGAAGGCAGATTTAAGGCAAAGTTGTATTGATTTGGAAAATAAGCCATTAGAATGCTAAAATAAAAATGAGAGTTTGGTTCGTTTAATTTTTTTGTTTGTTTGTAATATCTCATGTTCTCAAGGATTTGTTTTGTGATGTAGTTTATAAACCCTTGATGATGGATGGCTATTATATGTGTGCATTTGGGGTGCTGTGTCATGTGTTTGTGAATGAAAATAATAAATTTGTAAATGAAAATTTATGTGGTGTATTTGGAGGTGTTTAAAATTGTGTTTTTGTTTCATGCATAACAAAAAAATTGTTGTTTAGTTTAAGAAACAGTGACATTACTCATGTTCAATTCTATAAATAATTAATGTTCAATTTTAGAAATAGATAGTGTTCAATTTCAGCAATAGTACTCGTGTTATGTTTCATAAATAATACTCATGTTCAGTTTCATAAATAGTTCTCGTGTTCACTTTCATAAATAGTAATTGTGTTCAGTTTAAGAAATAGTGATAATACCTGTGTTTAGTATACAAAATAGTGAGTATTCAGTTTAAGAAATAGTGATAATATTCGTGTTCAATTTACGAAATAGTGAATGTTTAGTTTAAGAAATAGTGACATTATCACTACTCAGTTTAAGAAATAGTGAGTGTTCAGTTTAAGAAATAATGATAGTGCTAGTGTTCAATTTAAGAAATAATAATATTACTAGTGTTCTATTTAAGAAATAGTATCGATACCCCTATCCAGTTCGAGAAATAGTTAGTGTTCAACGTTTATAATTGATAATTTTGTTTACTTGGGGAAATAATGTAGCTATTTGATTTTCCTTTTTTTACTTGAAGACGTAAAGTATCAAATTGTTAGTATGATATCAATGCATTTTTTGTTGATTTATTTTTCAGGTTGTTGCTAGGACAGAACAAAGCCACGAACAACACTGCCGGTAAAGGCAGATAATATGAAGAAGGTGGTGATGTTGAAAACACTTGAGCCGGTGAAAATACCAGAGCTTTACGAGCAAATTTATAAGACCATTGTTTTATCCGTTAAGAGTTGAGACCCCACTGGCAAATCTACAAAGACTCACAAACTGAAAATGAAATTGGGATAATTTCCAATGGAGTGGCTCTTGCATTCCAAGAGAATGGGTTCTAAGTGGTAAGATAAATTAAGGGTGGAAATTGATCAACAAAAGAATCTAAACCACCTAATTACAAAAAAGTAATAAATTAATAAAATAATAACAATAAAAAAACATAATATATATATATATATATATATATATATATAAAATAAAAGAAATTGGGGAAGCAATTGCACCCATTTTCTTTAAACGTGCAAAATGGTTTGAGGAGGTGGCCACTCTCCTTCACCCACGTTGACTTTTACCTTCCTTTCATGAGGAAGGGGGACGACAAGAAAAAAACAAAAAAAAGTAAAACCTGAAGAGAGAACAAACGGCCAAAAGAAAAAAGAAAGAAAGAACTGGCTGGCATAATGGCATACTTGTAAATAAAGGGAAGTTTTGTCCTTATGATTAAATATAAAACCCTTTTGGTTAAATAATAGTATAGGGTGGTTTTTGATTAAATTAAACTTAGCTCAAGCCCTTTTCATTAAAACTTCCTAAAATATATTGTTGTAGTCCAAAAAAAAACAATTAATTAAAAAAAGGCATCACTAGTAGGAAAAAATGTTTACATGACAAATCTTTGGCCAATGAAGCAATTTTGTCGCCCAAGTACGCTTTGCATGACCAACAATGTGTGTCATTGCACCAAATGTCCATGGCAAATAAATAAACCAAAAACATTGCGTGACGTCAAGGATATTTGCCCAACGACCTAAACTATTAGTCGCGCAACTATGAAAAAGTTCGGGTAAAATAAGAATTTGGCACCATTTTTTGCATGGCAAACAAATTTCTTCGCAACAAAATACTTTAACACCCTTCAAGAAGTGCGCGACGAGCTACCTTTAGGTTTCATCGCTCAATGTCTCCAGAAAGGTCGGTCATAAAATAATGGCAAAAAAAGAAAGAACTTTAGGCGACGAAGGCTTCATCGAGCAAGGGTTCATGGGATTCATTAAAATTCAAGATCTGCACGTTCTCTCCTCATCTCCTCTCTTCCTCATCTTTTTCTCCCCCAAATTCCAAAACTTTCTTCTCCCCCATGTCCTAAATCTTCTTCCCTTTTTCCTACTCTCACCATCGACAATCGAAGATATCCACGGTAAGTCTCTATTTCTCCCAATTAAGAACATTTTTTTTTTTGTTATGAAAATTAGTTTTTGAATGTTTAATCATGTCTCAAATTTTGTGGGTTTTCGAACTTATGGAATTATAATTTTGTAGATATTGCATTTGTCTGATTTCGCATCCGATAATGCAGCGATTGTGACATGTGAGGGAGAAGGATCATAATTTGTATGAATTTTACAATTGTCTTTTGTTGCACAATTGTATTTCATAATTAAATATAAGCTGATTATTTTAGTTTGTTTGTTTTTGAAAATCTATGTTGGATGTGGACAATATGTATATCAAAGTTTGTGGGTTATGGATAACTTTTAATTTGCAGGGACGGTTATGCCGCTTTTCCGGTGCAATTTTATGTTTGGTTTTGAACAATTTTGTTTTTCCGTAAGGAAGAACAAAAAGACAATATCTTTCAGGGCCAGACATATGATAAATGATTAGAGAAGCCACATCAACTGTGATTTCATGCGGTAAACGGAATCTGAGAGGGAGGCACACTCCATTCTTGTGCATGACATAGGGTCACTGGTTCGGAACAAATGTCATACAAGTTGATTGTCTGTTACAATAAATTGATGAAACAATAACTAGGCTAATAGCTGCTTCAGCGGCTGCAACAACTCTAACAAAAAATGAGAAAATATTTCCTTGGTACCAAATCAAGGCAAACTCTGCATAGTAGATATGACCTCAAAATAACCTGCCAAGCTCTTTCAACAACTGTGGGACTCATGTCATGACTAAGATGTCTCGTATTTCTTGAAAAAAAACGATTCGATTGATGAGATTTGGTATAATACTTATGAAATCGATGAGATTGATATTTATATATTTCTTCTTAGAACATACTGATCTAACCTCATAAGCGGGACCATCACCCCACTGCTCCACCGGAAATTTCCTCTGAGATGAAGAAGCCATTGTTGAATGAGCTATTAGTAAGTGTCAAGTAGTAATTTAACAATTACTTTTTATTTAATAATTATTAATATTTTATATTTTTGTGCATAACAGGACTTTATTATTGATGATATTGATACATTATATCGATAACATCTTCAAGAGACGTTGCGGGAAACAAAACATTACGCCAATCAAGATACACATGCACCACCGGTACAGTGGCTGTTTAGTTGGATCAATATAATAGTATTTTGTTCAACTTATGCTTAAATATTTTCTTAATCTGTATTCAGATTATAATAATAATTTACTTGAACTTTTATGGACTAATTCCAGGTGAATCGTCTTCACCGTTTCAGGTGAAGGTGGTGGCTGGAGGTGGACTATTTCAATTACTGATTGATTTCTTTATATTCGGTTTCAATTTTTTTGCTTTCGATCGAGGGCTTTCTTCGATCTTTGTATGGCTGTTTCTCTTTTTTTGTTAGGTGTTGTTTGCAAATTTCGGATTTTGGGACTGCAAATCTAGGATTGGGGACTGTATTCATTCGATCTTTCTACATAAGGTTAATATCTGCTGACTGCATTCGTTCCCGATTCCGAACTGAAAAGCTGAAACAATTTCGGGAATACCAACATTTCGATTCAGTTTTCAAAATCCCATCCCGAAAGATATCGATTCGGTTCTCAATTTATGCTTTCCGGTTCGGAATCCCAGGCATAAATATTTAGTCAATGAAAAAATATGGAGGCTTTTGTGCATAAAAAGATAACGAATAGCACAAGCGAAATTCACATCACACACGTGGTAAATTACAAATGGATTATTATATCATCCAAGTTGTGTATGTTATGATGGCATATGATTCTCTTAACAAAGAACAATAAAAAAAATATAAAGACATTCATGGTGATAAATTATTAGAAATAAAAGAGTTTTAACGAAAAACATACAGTACTGTTCATTTTAACGAAAAACTACATTTTTACATTAAAAAGTCAATTATGGTACTATTCATTTTACTCTTTATTTTGTTATTATCATTAAAATTCAAAGTTTTCAAGCTATTTTCATTAATTTTCCTTAGAAATAAGGATTAATCTTAGTTTACTACTCTGAAGATTTTTGGTTTTTAACGTTTTATACATGAAGTTTTTTTCGTTCCAGTCTGGTACATAAAGTCCTAATTTTGGAACACTTTCATACATCGATTAAGTTTTCTATCAAAACCTTCATTAATTGATGATGTGGCGCCCACTTGGATTATGACTGGATTCCACGTGTCAATTTGGGCCCACATAAAATAAAATTAAAATTAAAAAAATTAAAAATTAAAAATTAAAAATCTAAAAACTTTCCTCACCGCCCATCTCTTCTCATCCTTCCTCCTGTAGCCACCAATTCCCTCCTCTGCCCTTTCTCTCTTCGATTCCCCCCTTCTCTCTTCCACTCTCCTCTGTTGTCCGCCGAAACTCACCCCCTTGTCCTACACCGTCGATTTACCCTGTGTCCTCCTCCAACTTCTCTTCTCCGTCAACCCCACCCCCGTTCCTCTGTCGACCCTACTTCCGTCTCCTCCAACATCTCTCCTTCGTCGTTTCGTATCAGGCTGTGTTTTGATTGAGGCTGGAGCCGGATCTTAAATCGAGGCATCTGGAGTAGGGGCTTGTGGATCCAAAGCTTGAAGAAGCTCATGAGCCGAAAAGATGCACCACTGAGGTGGAGTCGGAGAGATTCAGTGAAGAAAAGAAGGGCGTGTGAACAGCCACATGATAAGTATTATTTATAACAAGATAATTCCGTAACATAGTTGAGTTTCCACTCTTATTGAAATTAATAGGATATTTAGGTTTGAGTTTCCACTCTTAATTGAAATCAATGGTATATTTAGGCTGTTTGTTTGGAAAGAAGAGCCCCCAGTGTCTCTCGGTCTCTTCTCCACGTTTTTGGTTCTCATCAAACATGGCAAACACGTAAGTGTCTATGGGGCTTTCAGGTTTCTTCGGAGTCCCACCCTTGACATGTTTAATCAAATTCGAGTTGTAAATTCTTGCATTCGCTGTCGTTGTCACTCGCTCGTCTCCGCCAGCCGAGGGCCAACCAGTCTCCGATACAACAATTTTCAGAGAGCCGCCTCCAGCCTTCTCTAATGCTGAGTAATGCGCATCTAGAATTGCCTCAAACAGGTTTTGATACCCAAGCCGACCGTCATTGACTACAACCGATGGAGATGTAAAAAGGGCGTACTCGAGTTTAATCTTCTGACTATTTTGAATGTAACTAAAATATGGGTACATGTTAACAAGCAAAGGAGATTGGTTTCTGACTAGGAAGCTTATGATAGGATCGAGAAATGGTCTATAATCCGGCCGGAATAAGCCTTTTGATGGAGGAGATGATTCTGGAGAATTATAGGAAAAACGGCAGTGGAGACTTTGATTTGGTTTACAAGCCCAGCCCTAGAAATTGCATTTTGAATGTTGTCCATTGCAGGGCCAACATAGGGTGCTCGGTTACCCAGGGCATCTACTTCGTTTCCAACGGCGATGTATTTGAAATTGACATTCGGATAGCTTTTGACATTTCTTTGAACCCAATCATCTGCACTGGCTTGGTTAGAAGAAATGTCTTGAAGACGCTCATTTTCGATGCCTAGCATGACCTCGATGGTGGAGCCTTGAAGGGCTCGGAGAGCGTCGTCGTTAGGAGCATAGAGCCGTAGTTTTTGGATGTTATATTGTTTGTACAGAGCTATTACTTCTCCTGGGGGTGGCAAGTTTCCAAGTGTTCCATAACAAACACCAATGCTTGCTCCTGTATCAGATTCAAAGTTAATGATATTTATAGGATACAGTATCTTAAAAGAAAAAAGAGTTTTAATACTCTTTGTTTTAACCAAATCACACGCATAACAATTGTCAAGGTTTATTGTGCAACGGTACATAATAGTGGTGAGGTTATAAAATGATAGTGTTTATTACACTACCAACGTTGATTGTTACATCATGAATGTTTTGTTGCATTATTGACATAAGTTCATATTAAAGTGTGTGTGTGTGCATCAAGAAATCTATTATCGTTATTAACTTTTAGGCTTTCTACCATCATGTTTAATGATGTTATAATATGAAAGTTATGACATGACGTCTTAATTATAAGAAATGTAAGGCTACTAAAGCAAATTAACATACAAAATAAATAAATAGATGTATATTACAAAAAAGCATAGTAGCCCTTTGATTTATGGAGAAGCAACTTGTGACTTGAAAGGTATGCACACATGGTACGGACATGCAAGTGTGCGATATTTGAGAGAGAGAGAGAAACCCTTAGTGGTAAGGGTAGCCATTAGCAGACCAACAACAAGTAGCATTATGGAAACCATGGTAGGGCTTTTCCCAATTAAATTGGACGACTCGACCATTGTGCAATTTCTTTCACAGCTAGCCAATTAGATGGAGAAATGAAATAAGTTAACAAGGAAAGACACTGCCTCTCCAACTTGTGAGGTACCTTCTTTATATACAGCTCAAGTCACGGACTCAGAAGATAATTGCATGCATATAGGGTGGTACGTACTACTCGAATAACACCGTTTGGTCTTTCTTTTCCACAAAATCAAGTGGTGGATGTGTCAATTGACTTATATGGTCTTCTAACGAAGTCTCCTCTGTAGGCTCCAGAAAATTCAAGCATTACACTGTATTTGTCTTTATTATTATTTTTTTTTTCCACAAAGGTAAGCGGTGGATGTGTCAATTGATGTATATGGTCTTCTATCGAAGTCTCCTTTGTAGGCTCTAGCACATTTAAGGTTTACAGGTCGGTAATGTGCTTGTCGAGAGATTTTTCAATGTGACCGGCACACGAGGTGATATACCACGTGTTATTATACAAATGGTGAGATATATGTGTTAAAATGTTAATAACTTAAAAATTTAAATTTCTCATTACTTACATAAAAACACATGGTGTATCACTCGTATTCATATCACAATGAAAAATTTCTCGTGCGGGTGTCGACCATGCAAAATATAGAACACTACAACACGTTATTTCATTAATTGATGCGTTGTTTTGTTGTTGCAACTTAGTAATCGGTGTGTAACTGCAGCTAAGCTCGAAAGTTGTTCCCGTCCCTGTAAGGGAGATGTCAACCATCTCTCCTTTCTACGAGCACTATAATTGCACCAATTGAAGTAAGAAATGAAGATCATCTTTCAAATTTGAAGATTAATAGGAGGGATAAAATATGTTTTAAAATAGGATATATACCATTAGACAAAATACTTCTTATGACATCTGAATCAATAGCATTTTTGGAATATCACACGGAACTCTGCTATTTCAGGTATCTTAAAAAATTTGACTTTAACATAGCAATAAAAACACATCATACATGACATTTAAATAATGTCATGTACAAATCAAGTTGGATGACATTTTGTGAGTATCATAAAAATGAAAACTAGTTTCCATGGCGCATTGTTAATGAAGAAAATATTGAAAATGCCATCTGGTACAACTTTAACGACCTGTGTGCCATTAAAAGTCTTTTTTTTTTTTTTTATTGACATTATATACTCTAAACTGGTATATGTGATTCCAACTTGATTGTAAGTAGACTAACCTAACTCATACTTATAAGATTTTTTATGGTGAAGGTATGATATTCATTGATAGAAAATTGAATAAATACAAACATGATAGGGTGCATACAGTGGGTTTCGATAAAAACTTTGTCAAGGATTTCAATCCAGATGAAGGGAAAAAGAGCGTCCTACACCATGAGAGATTACATATGATTACTATCCTCAATTAAAAGTTCTATTATTACATCATAAGGTTCCTCAAACCAAACTACCGAAGTATCAAGGGCTAAACCCAATCTAGCCAACCTATGTACCACCTTGTTCGTCCAGCGTCGGCCAAATGTAACCTTGCACTGAGAAAAACCATTTAAAATCTATCTAGTATCTGCAATAATGTGCCCAAAAGAAGATGAATCCTTTAGGCCCTCATGTTGAAGTGCCGTGGTCACCATCAGAGCATCCCCTTCAACTTCCAAGTGTGTAGTATGCTGGTGTTGTGAAAAAATCACTGCACCCACTCCTCCAATCTCTAACTGTTCATCCCATGCCGCATCAAAATTACTTTTAATCCACCCATTTTTTTGCCGCTTCCATGGCTGCCCAGTGACCACGTTGGTGTTCTTCCTCAACCCATGCCATTTATGGAATTCATGTAGCCATGTATGCACTTTACAGTGCATTTCCGAAGGCTCCAGAGCCTTTCCATTCCACAACATTGCATTCCGTTCTGTCCATGTGCACCAAATTAAAACCATTACCAAGTCAAAACTCTCCCTCGACATTGAACCTGCAATGGCAGCTATCTATTCCATCAAACTCTACCGCATATCCCCTTTGCTTCTGATACCCAGCGGACTAGAAAACCACACCACCATCGCACGGGGACAGAACCTCATCACTTGATCAATTGTTTCCACATCCCCATCACAAAACACACACATATGTTTAATTTCTTTTTCCTCAAGTTGTCCCTTGTCGATAATGCATCCAAGCAGCATCTCCACACACAGATTTTTACCTTCCCCGACATGTGAGCTCTCCATATCGCTTTCCACAAAAATTTGACCTCTGCAGCCATTATCGAACCACTAAGTTCATTCCCATTTACTTCTCCACAGTACCGTGCCAAATGGTATGCACTCCTCGTTGTAAACTTTCCATTTGACTCCGCATTCCATATTAAGATATCACCTGTATTGAACATGCTAAGAGGGATGCATTTGATTAGTGCTACCTCTTCCTCGACAAATAGGTTATGTATTGTTTCCATGTTCCATGACGAACTTCCATCCTCAATAATCAACCTGCTGACTTTGGCATTGTGATCCATTCCCCTCGGTATGGGACTAAGAACTTTAAAAAAAATTATGTCTGGGCAGCCAACTATTCCCCATATGCAAATTTTTGAACCATCTCCAGCCCTCCACCGTGCACCCCTATGGATTATAGTTTAGGCAGCAGTAATGATGCGCCAACAAAATGACAAATTCGGTTTAACTTGGGCAGATAAGAAACCGGTTTAAGGGTAGTACTTAGCCTTACGGAGCCGTGCTACAAGTGACGATGGTTGTTGTAAGAGCCTCTATCCCTGCTTTGTTAACAACTGCTTTGTTAACAACGCAAGATTAAAAGAATAGAGATCATTGAAACCCAGCCCATCTTCACTTTTTGGCTTACATAGTTTTCTCCAACGAATCCAATGTATTCTCCTTCGACCTTGTTGTCTCCCCCACCATAATTTTGCTACCATTTGATTCAATTCATCACAAAGAGAATTTGGTAGGAAAAAAGTTTGCATAGTATACAATGGCACCGCTTGAGGAAGGCTCTTGATCAAAATTTCTTTTCCTGCATTACTCAAAAGATTCCATCGCCAACCATTAAGTTTTTTCCATAGTTTATCCTTAATGTAGGCAAGCGCTTCTTTCTTTGCCTTCCCCACAAAGACCGAAAGCCCCAGGTAACAATTGTGTTATTTCACTCGGGCCATGCCCAAGCAATTCGCTAGTAGTTGTCCATCACAATCAGTAAGGTTTCCACTGAACGCGACACAACTCTTCAAGTAGTTAATAGCTTGGCCGGCTGCTTCTTCGTATGTTTTTAATAATTGTTTCACTTGGATGCATTCCTGAAGAGTGCCTCGAGCAAATATGAAACTATCGTCTGCAAATAGTAAGTGGTGCACACTTGGCGCCTTTTTACAAACTTTAACCCCTTTAATTCTTCCCGTTCTCTCCCATGCATCAAACAGTGGTGATAAACCCTCCGCACATAAGACAAATAGAAATGGCGAAGGGGGATCACCTTGTTGAATTCCTCTTTTTGGATGAACATATCCCATAGGCTGCACATTTAATTTAAAGGAATTCGACACTGTTGTAACACACATCATGATTAGATTGATCCATGCCTTGGAGAAACCCTTGTTTTCTCATCATTTACTCTAAAAAACTCCATTCGATATGATCATAGGCCTTACTAATATCCAATTTCAGCGCCATAATTCCATCCGAACCACTGGGTTTCTTATGCATATAATGGGCAATTTCAGATGCAACCATGCTTTTATCTGAGATTAATCTTCCCAGATCAAAAGCACTTTGTGATGGAGAAATAATTTCCAGCAAATCCGTTTCAAACGGTTGGTAAGCACTTTAGAGCAAACTTTATAAATTACATTGCACAAGCTAATTGGGCGCAGTTGTGTCATCACTATAGAATCTTTGTTCTTAGGAATTAAAGTGACATGAGTGTAACTTTTTTTTCGCAACATAACTCCAGAAGATAATAACGATCTTACCCCATTGCAAACGTCCTCACCAACAATTGCCCAATGCTTTTGATAGAAACCTGGAGACATTCCATCCAGTCTCGGAGCTTTCGTAGGATGTGTTTGAAACAAAGAAAACTTTATCTCCTCATTAGAAAATGGAAGGAAGAGTTCCTCATTCATACTCTCTGATACTCATGGTGCAACATTTTCCAATATTTCATCACACACTGTAGGTCCTTGAGAATCAAATAATTTCGAAAAGTAGTTCACAAGTACCTCGTCCATACCTGCTTTATCCTCTCTCCACACCTTCCTCGTTAAAAAATCTATATAAGCAATTAGCCCTTTGTCTTCGATTTGCTTTTTGATGAAAAAACTGAGTATTTTGGTCCCCAAGCTTTTAGCCAATTTTCCTTCGATTGTTGCCTCCAGAATGATTCCTCATGTGCAAGTAATGAGTGGAGTTTCATATACAAATCACGCCGATGTGCAATTGTGGTTTCCGTAAATGGTTGCCCATGACATGCCCGACCTTGATATTCTCCTAAACACCAGGGTAGGTACGTGCTGGCCAACACCCGAAAGTAATGAAGCCATATTAGGATGCATAAGAACTAGAAAGAAAATAAAAGTTATGAATTAAAATACAATGATTATGCAAATGAGGAATGTGTTCAGAGCATACAATCTAACTAGAACACTAAAGGGAAGAAAATAAAATTGAATGAATAGAAGAATAGGTCCTACACCGGGAGGACTCGAACATGCCGATATAGAAATGCCTTGATGCTGGAATTTTACACCTCGATTCTAAGTCCTGAGGGGCTGCAAAACAAACATGAGTGGACCAAGTTGATATATATATATATATATAAACTAAAACAGTTATCAACATACTAACCCCAAAAGTTTTATGAAAACTAATAGCATAATAAGTGGTAGGTTTTCCGAAAACCCTAGCATGCCATAAAACATATCTCGTATATAGTGTACTAAATAGTGGTATCCAATAATAGTATCACCTGGCCCAATGCCAGCTTCTATGTCTCTGTGCCCTTAGCCAAAGATTATTTCTCCTAGCCCGAAGCCAAGGATTATTTCTCCCGACCCGTAGCCAACACCAAAACCTCGCCCC